TTGGCTGACAGTATTTTTCCTTTAGCCCTCTGAATATATCATCCCATTCTCCTCTGGCCTGTAGGGTTTCTCCTGAGAAATCTGCTGAGGGATGTATCGGGGCCCCATTTAATGTTATGTGTTTCTTTTCTCTTGCTGCTTCCAGTATTCTTTCTTTGTCTTTGGTTTTTAATAATTTGATTATGATATTCCTTGGAGGTGCTCTTTGGACTGAATTTGATTGGTGACCTCTGAGCTTCCTGTACCTGGATGCTGTCATCTTTCTCCATACTTTTAGAATATTCAGTCATTATTTCCTTGAATGGACTTTCTTGGTCTCTTCTTTTTTCCTCTCCTTTTTTTCTTCTGTCATTTATGCAGAGATTATTGCAGTATTTCTGTTTTATTTTTCTTATTCTTTTTGGTTTTACTCCTCTGATTGGATAATTTCAAGTGGCCTCTCATGCCTTCATGAACTCCATGGGTCTTTCCTCCTCTTTCCCTCAGTTCCAGCAGTTCTGGAGTCTGAAATTTTTAATCTTTTTAGTCTTTGCTTTTTAAAAGTTGTAAATTGATTGATTGTTGGGTGGGAAGCAATGCTGGGGTCATCTATTTTACCATCTTGAAGAAGTCACTCTTACGTTTTCTTTATCCATTTGTTCATTGATAAACACTTAGGTTGATTCTATATCAACCCTGGCTTAAGATTGTTTTGGCTACTTGTGATCTTTTGTGGTTTCATAAATATTTTAGGATATTTTTTTCCTGTTTCTGTAAAAACATCACTTGAATTTTGATAGGGATTGCATTGAATCTGTAGATCACTTTCAATAGTATGAACATTTTAACCATATTAATTCTTCCAATCCGTGAACATTGGATACCTTTCCATTTATTTGTGTCTTCTTCAATTTCTTTCATCAATGTTTTACAGTTTTCAGCATACAGATTTTTCACCTCCTTGGTTAAATTTATACCTAAGTATTTTGTGTGTGTGTGTGTAGCTATTATGAATGGGATTATTTTCTTTATTTTGGCCCATTTTAAAAATTTGCCTCTTCATTCTCATTGATGCCTTGGGCCTAGAGTGAGGCTACTGGTTGGACCCTTTGTTAGATGCAATTCTATTCATTGATCACCTGTATTCTCTATTATTTCTGTTTATTTTTATATATTTAAATATTTATCAATAGGTAATGCAATTATATATTTCAGAGTTCAAAAGCAATGAAAAGTTATATATAGTGAAAACTCTGCCCTTACATATCCCAGTCAGCCAGTCAGTTCTCTCCAGAAGGAACAGCTATTATCTGATCTTTGTGACTATTTCAGAGATTTTATATACATATGTGTCTTAGTTTGGGCTGCTATAACAAAGTACCATAGAGTGGGTGACTTATAAACAGAAATTTATTTCTCACAGTTCTGGAGGCTAGATGTCTAAGATCAGGGTACTAGAATGGTCACGTTCTGGTGAGTGCCCTCTTCTGTGTTGCAGACTGCCAACTTTTTACCTCAGAGATAATTTTTCTTGCAGATGTTTTCATATTAGTACATTAAGAGCCTTGCTATCTTTTTTTTAATTGCATGCTTTTCCACTATATGCATGTATTATATTTATTTAATCAGTCACCTGTTGATGGATATTCAGATGATTTCTAATCTCCTGATATTATGATGTTGCATATAATAGTATAATTCCCATGTGTGAGAATATTTGTAAGATTAGTTCTGAGAGGAGGAAAATTGTAGGCCAATAGGCATGTGTACTTATTTTGACAGATACCACCAAATCATATGCCATAAATATACCAATTTTCATCCACAAGAACTATGTGAGAGTCCGTGTTTTCCTGAATCTTTGCCATCCAAGTGTGTTATCAATCTTTTTTATTTTTGCCAGTCTACTGGATTAGAAATGATACTTCAGTAGTGTTTTAATTTGTATTTCCTTAATAAGAGTGAAGTTGAGCATGTTTTAATATGTCTAGAATGCATTTTTATTTCTTTTCCATTAACTGTTTAAATCCTTTACCCATATTTCTATTGAGTTGTACATCTTAATGATTTGTAAGTCCCTTTAGGATGCCCTTTGAGTATTTCCTGTATTTGTTTTTTATTTTTCTCATCATGTTTTTATGTGTGCTGTCAAACTTATCACATGGGTGTATGTGTTCTTTTTTTTTAAACAAATCTATTTATTTATTTATTTACTTCCCAACTTTAGTGAGGTATAGTTGACAAATTAAAATTGTATGTACTCAAGGTGTACAATGTGATGATTTGATATATGCACATTGTGATGTGATTGCCACAATCAAATTAACACATCTGGCACCACGTTTAGTTACTATTTTGCGTGTGTGCGTGTGGTGAATCCACTTAACAAATTTCAAGTAAACAATACAGTATTATTAACTACAGTCACTGTGCTGTGCATTAGATCCCCAGAACTTATTCTCTATGTGTATTTTCTTCCCTTTTTGCATGACTCTGATTTTAACTTTGTGTTTGTAAGATGCATTCTTACAAATTGAATATAGCATAGCATTTTGTCATATGTATGCACTACAATATATTTATGCATTCTGCTACTGATGAGCATTTGTGTTGTTTTCAGTGTCGAGCAGATGTGAACAATGCTACTGAGAATATCCTTGTATGTGTACCTGGGACACATGGACATGAGTTTTTCTGGGAGGGGAACAGCTGAGTCATCGGCCATGTTTATCTTCAAATTTACTAGACAATGTGTCTTAGTTTATTTGGGCTGTTATAACAAAATATCATAAACTGGGTGGCTTATAGACAACAGAAATTGATTTCTCACAGTTCTAGAGGCTGAGAAATCCAAGATCAAGACACCAGCAGATTCTGTGCCTGGTTAGGGCCTGCTTCCCAGCTCATGAACAGCATCTTTTTGCCATGTCCTCACGTGGTAGAAGGGGCAAGGGGGTCTCATTCAGGACTCTTTTGCAAGGGCACTAATCACATTCATGAGGCCTCCACTCCTATGACCCAATCACCTCCTAAGGTCCCACACCTCCTAACACCATCACTTTGGGAGTGAGAATTTCAACATATAAATTTTGGGGGGACATAGACATTCAGACCATGGCACAGGGCTACTCTGTTTTCCGAAGTAGTTGCTCCAGTTCTCTTTCTCAATGGCAGTGTATGATATTACTTCATATTATCACCAGCACTTGGTGTTGATTTATGTGTTTGCAAGTCTTACCAATGTAAATGGTATCTCATTGTGGTTTTACTTTGTGTTTTCCTGATGTTGAGCACCTTTTGATGTTTATATCGACGTTTTGGATTTTCTCCTTTGTGAAGACTTCATCAAGACTTTGCCCATTTCTCTGTTGGGTTGTTCTTTTCTTATTGATTAGGATTGAGTATTTCTTAAGAATTCTGTGACACTTCTGAGTGGACAGATTCCAGAGACATCCCCACATTATCCAATGGGAAAAAGTTATAGCTTTGACATCTCTGAAGTCACTAGCTATGCTGCTTCTTTCAACATATCACTGGGAAGAATGGATTCCCAACTATGTTATTATTATTATTTACTTTTTTGTGTGTGTGACCCAGATAGGACTTGAACTTGTTATTGAATTCTATCTTAATTGCATAATAGGCAGTCCATCAAAATTTGTTTTGATTTGATTATAGCCTCTCGTGTGGTCAGTTTTTGTAAATATTCCGTGTATGATTGAAGAATGTATGTTTTGCAGATGGTTGTTGCAGGTCTATAAACACGTTCATTACGTCAAGTATGTTAGTCATGCTGTTCAAATCTGTATCTCATTGATTCTTTTTGTCCTATTAATTACTGAGACGGGTATATTAAAATCTCCCATTGTAATTATGTCTTTGCCTATTTATCTTTGCAATTCTGTCCATTTTTGCTTTACATATTGTAAGACAATGTTATTAACCCAGCTTGCCATCACAGGACACAGGAAGCCCGTGTATCTGCCTGATAATGTGTCTGCAGCTGAGGTATCATGAAGCTTTCTTTTGGTCCCCCTTTATAATCCTGCTTCTCTCACTTTATAACAGGAAATCACTTCACTTACCTATTTCTCTTCTTACTATTTTCTTTGCCTTTGAACCACCAGAAAAGGGTACTCTGAAATATTCATTATTAATATGAATCAAGTCTCCATAAACTGAAGTCATGGCTTTGTGATTTTTAATGTCGAAACATATGTATGTTAAGAGAACAGCATAGCATTAGATCATTATGGGATTTTGGGCATATAACTTAGAAGAAGATTTTTAAAAAGTTGAATCACATTGCATAACAAAATTTCTTCCATTTCCACTCATGATATATGCAAACATGTTTTCTAAGTATTTACATATATAGAAATGAAAACAGGAATAAGATTTATGCTGAACCTTATCTCATCCTAATAATCAGTAATATTTGCCATAAATATTTGAACTCACTGAAAAGCAAAAGGCCATTTTATTAAGAATCATATAATTTAATATAATTTAAATTTAATACAGTTAATGGAATTCAACATTTTTTGTTTAAGAAATATAAAAATGTATAATTGTAATGTTTTAGTTAATTTTATGCTACTAATAATTGCAATGATAACTTGACCTAGAATTTTTTCTAACATTTAGAGGTTAATGGTCATCTGAAATTAAAAAATTAAAATCAATTTTCCCATATTTCAGTTGCAGGTAAGGATAATAAGGTAATCAATAAAAAATATTTGAAGCATAAAGATATATTTTTATGGAAAATTCTGAGTTGAAGGAGAAAAATGTAAAAATTTTGACCATTAAAGATGAGCTAATTTGTGTATATTTTAAATAGGCAATGAGAATTAAATTATATGGTAATTATTTTCCTTTGTATATATTTAAAAGAACAATATGAAAATTTTCTTTAAAAATGTCAATACGTGTGATATGCAATGAAGAATTATAATGAAAAAATTTGGAGGTCAGCTGTTAAAAACTGCAATTATTTTTAAGTATATTGAAGGACACTGTGAAGACTGCTGGCCTAGTGCAGTCCTGGCCCACCTCCTGCCTTCGGGCACTCAAACCCAGCCAGACATTGATGAACTATGGATTTCCTGGAAAGAAGCTTCTTTCCTTGGTAAGAATGTTTCGGTATCTTAGCACATTTACCATCTGGGAATTCTAATCCTCATCTTTATGTCTGGGGGAAAGGATGTGTAAGCCAGGGATTTATGGTCCAGCCGGGGAAGGAGTGGGACCAGTAGCGGTGAAGTATCTGGAAGACAAAATGGTGGACCTTGCCCCTTTCAGAGCTAGCAACTGATGGCCCATTTCACTCCATCTGGAAAGAATACAGGAGGAAGGAAAGGTCAATGGATATCTTACTAGCTGCTTTTATGTAAGTTGTCTGATTTCCTTAACCATCCATCCTCCAGATGAAGAAATGGAGCCTCGGGATGATGACAGGCTTGTCCCAGTTTATACAGCCTGTCAGTGGTGTAGCGGGATTTCATTCTAGGTTTGTGTGACTCGGCTATATCCGTGGCCTCAGAATCAGAAGATGCATGTGCTCTTGGGCAAATTACTTAACTTCTCCGAGCTCATCTGTAGAATGGCATAGTAATAGCTATTTTGCAGGATGGTAGTCACAATCCAGTGAGTTAACATGTGGATATATTCAAATCTGTGGTGTGGGGCCTGGCACACAGAAGGTCCTAGAGATGTAAGCGTTGACTATTCAAGCACAAATTTGGGCATTCTGGCACCATACCTCTGCCAGCTGGTGATTGCTGGTGTTTGGGACACAAAACCTTTGGGAGTACAGCTGTCACTTAAAGGTGACAAACAAAGTTTCCTTAAACTTTGAGACCAAACAGCTAAGACCGAAAGCTGGACATTGCCTCGGGGATGGCCAATAGGAGAGATGTTTGCTGTTTGCTGGATCTGTCCTAAGACAGCTGAGGCTAGCGCCTGCCCACTGTGTGTCCTCCCCTAACCAAGAATTTCTCACCATCCCTGTATTCAGACTAAACAATGCAGCCCACAGAACGCACTCAATGTTCTGCAGTCAAGGATTAAAAGCATGTTGCCTCACTTGGTGGGGCAGCACCCACCCACAAGGGACACCGTGCCTCTGCAGTTCATTTTCAGCTTTTTTGTATTACGAAGCAGTCTCAGCCCAACACCCATCCTCAGCCTAGGAGCAGACTGTACACTTTAACAGAAAATGGCAAGCAGAAACACTCTTTCCAGGTATCCTGGACTGAGGCAAATATCACTTGGAGGATGAGGGCTAGTCTTTAATATTTTTGAATCACTATTCACATAACCATCATGATCTTTGATGCATTTGCTATTCAAAGCACTAGAGTGTGTGTCTTTCAAAAGCAAGACATAAAAAACAGATCCTGATCTAAAATTGTCACTGAAATGAACTTGTCAAGGAAAGTTCTTAGGTAGTTGCAAGCAGCTTCCTGGAGCTGTCAGTGTTGTTTAGGCGCCCTCTGGTGGCCCATGGCCTTCCCCGTCGGGGAGGTTAGCACAGATCATCGGCTGGCTGCGTGTGAAGCATCACCCCGAGACTCTGATTGGAAAGGTCCGTGGTAGGGATGGACATTAGTATTGTTTTAAAAGATAAATAAATAAGTAAACTCCACAGGTGATTCCAATGTGCAGCCGGGGCTGAGAGCCGCTGTTCTGGGGGGATTTCATTTAGAACTACTAATTGATGGTTTTCTTTGATTCATTTCACAAATATTTATTGAGCTCCTACTAGGTGTTAAGACGGATAAAAGATGATGAGCAACAAAAGACAAGTCCCGTGTCGTCATGGGGATTACAGATATTAGTAAAATAAGCACACATTTAAAATAGTTATTAGAGCTAAGAACAGGGCCACCTGAGCTCATCTGGAAGTCAGCAAAGGCTTCCTTGAGGAATTGACTTTTGAAGTGTGATCTGAAGAGTGAGTGGGCATTAACCAGGCTAGGCTGATGTACTGAAGTGCCCGACTAATTGCCCCAGGTATCCTTCCCTTGTTGGGCAGGGGTCCCATGAAGTTGGTGGCAGACCTTCCTTGATAGACTCTGGTCTCCTGCCCAAGACTATCCCTGGATGACTGACGATGCTTCCATTGGGGTAAGATGAGAAAACATTAAAAGTAGGAAAGTGTTGACTCTAAGGCCAGTGAAAAGTGTGTGGGTGAGGAAGGTTGTGGAGGGAGACGAGATGGAGTCCTGAAAATTGAAGAAATGCTACTTTAAACAAAACGGTGCCATATCTTATCATACAGTGCTGATGAGAATGGAAATTCTTCTCTCTGACCCAGCAAATCCACTGTCAGGAAGTTCCCTTGGGGAATTATGGGCATAAATACGTGGAGAGTCTAGCAGACAAAGGGAGTATGGCTGGGCTTAAATAATAGGATCACAGCTCCTTTGGGAGGAGGGTTTTCTTTTTGAGAGAGGAAGAGTAAGTATTGTGTGGAAGGTTGTCTCAGTAGCTGAGTTACCATCGATCACTCCATGTGGAATTATATAAAAGCAGGTTCACATGTAGAAAAATTTCTATATAACCACCTCTCCTATCCTTTTAATTTCAGCTGAATTCAGCACACATATTGAGTACCTGCTGATGCAAGGCTTTGGCCAGGAGAACTGCCTTACAGCGAGGGACGGTAACTCACCTGCCACTATAGAGGGGAAGGCTGACTGGTGACAAATTCAAATACAGTACTTACAATAAAATAAATATTGTATTATAAGGATAAGAATGTATGTTTAAAAGTGTTGTGAGCAAAAAGGAAAAGCACAATAAATTGTGATTGAAGAAATGTGTCTGAGGCTGATTCCCAGAGGACATAACATTTGAACAAAATCTTGAACAATTAACTGGGTTTTATAGATTTGGCATAGGGGTGTTGGTTGGGGGAAGGCCCTTGTGCCTTAAGGAAAGAATTGCTTGGGGTTTTATTTAATATGTCTTTTACTGAGCACCTACTGATCAAGTTGCTAGCTGCTGTGTGGGATACAGAAGTACAAGGACTTTCCAACATGAAAATGAGACAAAATACACCACAAAAGGAAAAAAAGGTGTGGTATTAAATCACTGTGTGCAATTAGGTGTCAATATTGTCAGAAAGATCCAGAGACAAGGCCGTGGCCTAAAGTGTTTGTGGCTGGGACCAGCCTGTGGCTCACTTGGGAGAGTGCGGTGCTGATAACACCAAGGCCACGGGTTTGGACCCCTGTATAGGGATGGCCGGTTCGCTCACTGGCTGAGCGTGGTGCTGACAACACCAAGTCAGGGGTTAAGATCCCCTTACCGGTCATCTTTTTTAAAGAAAAATAAAATGTTTGTGGCATAGTGAACAGAAGCCAGCTGAGGGCAAAGGGAGAGACGAGAGGTACATTCTCACCATCACCTTTCCACAGACGTCAGGACTAAAAAATATTGTTTCGTCATGGGACATGAACCATACCTGAAAACACTTTGGCAAAAAATTCAAGCATAAAGGGTAAAAAAAAATTTTTTTAGTCAAAGCTTCTCTTCACAAACCTCATCTCCCCTCCAATCCCACACCTCTCCTTAAATACAGTTATATTGACAATTTGGTGTGGATCCTCTCAGAGTGTTATCTATGTATTAAATGTAAATATGTACATACGTGAATATATAGTTTTTTGTTGATGTGTGTTTTACATAAATGATAACATTCTGAATATTTCCTTCAACTTTTTCTCACTCCGGTACACTTAGGGAACTTTATATGTCAGTCCATTTATATATACCTCATTATTTTAACTAGTGTTCCATGCCTGGTGTGGTGCATCTTAGTAACCTAACTTTTCCCACTTGATCAACCATAAACTGAACAACCCATTAAGGTTCTACTTGATTTGTACATCATCATCATCAACAACAGCAATAATAAAATCCAGTCTGGGTTTAGTAAATGAAGCCCTCTTGAGCCACCAGTCTAGAGAGTCATGGTCCCACTGCCGATTCCAGGATCTGAGTCAATTCACTGATCTAGAACAAAGGGGAAGCTGGGTCCCTTGAAGAAGAGCCCAGCAATGTCATGACAAGGGTAACTGAGGATCTTACTGCAAGCCTTCCCCCAAGGACTGGTGTTCATTGAGGAAGTAGCTATATGCTGAGAAAAGGGAAATAAAGAGGTCGAAAGCCACTGTGGCTCATCAGTGAGGGTAGGGGCTCCTGGCAGGCAGGGGAAGAAATGGTGCTTTGATTTGAATCTATCTCATAGCAGGCTCATGGTAACAGGGACTCTAAGGACATTTAGACATATGGGGTGGGGAAGGGAGGTTTAGATAGAGTGCTGTATCAGTCCACTTTCTGCTGCTAATAACAGAGTACCTGAAACCGGGGAATTTATAAAGAGATGAAATTTATTTCCTACAATTCTGGAGGCTGGGAAGTGCATGGTCTGGGGACTGCATCTGGTGAGGGCCTTGTTCTGAGGTAGTGCAGAGAATCACACAGCGAGGGGGGCAAAAGTTGACGCTAACGTGTTTCTTTCTCTCCTTATAAAGCCCCCAGTGCCACTCCCATAATAACCATTCATCCATTAACCCATTAATTCATGAATGGATTGACCCATTAATGAGCACGTAGCCATCATGGTCTAATCACCTCTTAAAGGCCCAGCCCTTCAAATACTATACTGGGCACTAAGCTTCCACATGAGCTTTGGAGGTGACAAACATTCAGACCATAGCAAGTGATCTGCATCACTACAAAGAGATACCTATATTTCCAAGCTGATTGGGAAGTCAGTACCTTGTGAATGGGATGGAAATCCATGTTTTTCCTTTGAGGCAGCAATCCAATTGTTAGGAATTATCCCATAGAATCACTCTCACAGATATGTAGAAAGAGGAGCAGAGAATGAGAGAAGCTGGTAAACTCCTGTTTTACTTAAATCCTGGAATTAAAAAAAACCTGGGGTAAGATATTTTGAACCTGTCATGTGGTTATTCCCTAAGTTCCTGAGTGTGTAGTTGAAAATGACATGCTTAGAAACAGGCAATATCTTCACACTGCGTAGAGATAGTGTCACTCTGTAGATTAGGGATCCAGTGTGAAGCTACTACTGTTGGAAGAACCCAGGCATTCCCCCTTTTGCCAAGTCAGAGAGTAATACGGCATCCCTGGGAGAAACACAGCAGTTAGTGCCACCATCAAACACATGAAAGAAGCAGGGGTGATGATTTCTATTACATCAGCAGTTTATCTTACAATATGGCCAATACACAGTTTAGAAAAACTTTGAGAATAAAATGACAGTGACTTTAGTTGCATCTGCTTTTATAGATGTTGTCTCTTTCATAGCCCATGTTATGTCATTATCAGTTTGGCAAGCGCATTCTTCTCCATCCCAATAAACAGTGACAACAAAATCAGTTTGCTTTCACATGGTGGGGACTGCAGAATATTTTCAACATCTTGCCTCACACTTATACCAGCTCCATGGTTCTGTGCTTCAGTTTTGCACTTAGAAACCTTAATCATCTCGCCAACACAGAGGACACAGCCCTGGTTCTCTACACTGATGTCATCATGCTAAGAGGGACTGATGAGCAGGCAGGAGCAGGTACCCTGGCTGACCTGGTAAGACACATGCATGCTGAGGGGTGGAAGACATAGTCCAAGAAACATCAGGGAACTACCACATCAGTAAAGTTTCTGGGGGTCCCGTAGTCTGAGTTATGTTAGATACTTGCTCCAGAATGAAAGACAAACATCTCGATCTTGTGCCCCTCTACAAGCTTGGCAGAGATATAATACTTCATAGGACATCTTTGGAAAAGCATACGCTTGCCAGCTTTGAGCAAGGCCCCAAGAAACAAAACACTTCTCAAGCTATACCAGGCTGCGGTGAAAGCAACCTGCTACCTAGCCTTTTGACCCAGTACATGCAATGGTGTGTGAGGTTTCTGTGGCAGATGGGGCAGTGTGGAGCCTGTGGCAAGCCCCGATGTGAGCAGCAGAAGGAAGGCTACTACATGCATGAACTGACAGACATATTTCCGTTGCTGTAATTTTCCTGTGATAAGACCACGTGGCTTTGTTGTTGTTGACATTATTTTTAAAATTTTAATTGTGTAAAATATAGATAACATAAAATTTACCATCTGAACCTTTTTTTTTTCCTTTTTGTCTTTTTTACTGACCGGTAACGGGATCGCAACCCTCGGTGTCGCGCCCGTACCGGGGACTGGCAACAGGATCGCAGCCCTCAGTGTTGTGCCCGCAACGTGCTCAGCCAGTGAGCAGGAACCGGTCTCCACATGGGATCCGAACCCTCGGTGGGAGCACCACTGCGCTCCCAAGCAGCACACTCTCCAGTGCGCCACCGGGCTGGCCCCACCTGAACCATTTTTAAGTGTACAGTTCAGTGGCATGAAGTACGTTCACATTGCTGTGCAAACACCACCATCATCTACCTCAGAACTTTTTTCATCCTGCAAAACTGAAACTCTGTCCCCATTAATTAACTCCACATTTTTCCCTCCCCTCAGCCCCTGGCAACCACCATTCTACTTTCCATCTTTATGAGTTTGACTGCTCTAAAGTACCTCAGGATTTTAATTTTGATATATTTATAGTGTCTTCTGCCTTCTAGAAAGTTTAGTCTTTTCTTATTGCTCTATAAAAATATTTCCTGGACACTCTTGTGCATTTGATATTCCAATTGAGTTTTGAGTCAGCTTATCACATTATCATAAAAAAATTCAGTTGGGATTTTTGATATTACATTGAATTATCATGGCTAAGGTATGACAATTTAAGCTTCAGGAAAAAATTATAATTTATTGAAACAAGCTAAGTCTATTTTAAAAAGTCATGAGACACTAATGACTTCAAATGGCAATTTCTTTTTTCTTTCCAAATAAATAGTACTATACTCAGGTTAATTTTATTCACGTGAGAAAAAAAATTCCTTAACTGTAAGTATATTCTCAGGATGTTTTAATTATACCCATACAGAAAGATAAGACTCTTCCCATGAAATATTAATGAAGAGGCTCATGGGACTTTCTGCTGCTCCAACATCTGGTGTCTCTGGGGGAATGACAGGGTCACGGAAAGTGCTGGGGGTGGACTCTATCTTTTTTTTTTTTTTTTTAAAAGATGACCGGTCAGGGGAACTCAACCCTTGGCTTGGTGTTGTCAGCACCACGCTCAGCCAGTGAGCAAACCGGCCATCCCTATATAGGATCCGAACCTGTGGCCTTGGTGTTATCAGCACCGCACTCTACCGAGTGAGCCACGGGCCAGCCTTGGGGGTGGACTCTAAAAACTGAGGTTACAACCTCAAAATTTCAAAATAAGTTTGTGCTGGGCCGGCCCGGTGGCGCACTGCTGCAGTGCGCCGCTTGGGAGCGTGGCAGCGCTCCCGCCGAGGGTTCGGATCCCACATACAGACCGGTTCCCGCTCACTGGCTGAGCGAGGTGCGGGCGCAACACTGAGGGTTGTGATTCCGTTGCAGGTCCCCGGTACGGGCGCGACACTGAGGGTTGCGATCCGTTGCCGGACACGAAAAAAAAAAAAAAAAAGTTTGTGCCAGACAAGCAAAGTTCCCTAACTATGTCGTAGCCACCTTGTTCTATAAAATCTTTTGACCCTCCTCAAATTCTATCCATCGTATGCCAACCAGCCACAGGGGGAGCTTCTGTTGACTCACAAACACCATAATTCAGTATGGGATATGGAAGCTACTATGTACATGGTGGCCCTAAAGTTAGGGTCTCATAATTGTACTCTCTTGGATCGTACATGTACATCTTCAGGTACACTTTTTTTTTTTTCGT